TTGTTAAATTTTGCTTTGCAGGCACAACTAATAAGCAGTTTGGAGGGGGGATGGGTAAAAGTGAAAGAAGAAATCATCATTTCCACCCCCACAGTTAAATCAGCTCAGCTGAGGGATGGTACCCTCTAGAGGAGCAGGCTGAAGAAGAATCAGGAAACTCCAGCAGCTGAGCAGCTCCCAGCAAGGATAGGGGTGTTCTCCATCCACAGCAGATCTAATCCGTGAGATTCCAGCTTTCCCTGCCAGAGATTTCCATCACTTCTGTTGTGCTGAGCTCCAGACCAGTACATTCTGACTGCAGGACCCTGGCATGGCAGTGGCAAGGAGGGGCTGGGGAGAGAGGGATTGTTTAAGTTTAAAAAGCAGACAAACAAAAAGCCAGTTGCTACTTTCTGGAAAGCACTGGCCAAAGAGGAGCTGTTTACAGAACGCAGAAGTTTGTAAACCTTGGGTGTTGCAATAGGAAATCCATGCTGGGAAAACAAGTTGAACTGCCTGCAGTTAGCCAAATAATCAGTGTTGATCCATGACTAAGGCTCCTGAAAGGCTGACTTGCTGATTGTGATAGGAGAGGACTCTGCGTAGAGCTGCAGTGGATCAGAGATGGAGGAGTCAGGAGGGGTGGCTACTTGTGAGGACAGACAAATGTGTAGAACGTCTCCAGCAAGCCAGGACAGAAGCATTTCTTGGCCTGGATCTGTAGAATATCTTCCTGTAATGAGTGAAGAAAGCAGCAGTTGTGTCTGGTGTGAAAGGAAGGGAGTTCTGGGCTGTAGTTCTGCGGTGGCCTTTTAGAAAATCCGTTTCTGCCTTCAGTGCACGATGGGCTTGAGTCTGTGTGTGATGGAAGAACATTCAGTGGAAGTCCCTTTGTCCATTATTCCTCTTCTGTGGAATGAGTGGCAGTGCAGTGTGATAAATATAGCTCCCGTGGATCCCTACAATTGGGGTGACTTGCCATCCTGATCACCCAGGGCCTTTGTCTTTTAGTGCTACTTTGCGCCTTAGGATTTCTCCCTTCTTGCTGATAGGAGCTTTTGATGCACGTGCACAGACATGGCCGTGCCAGGTCTCAACATAGTCACGCTATCTGGCCCTCAATAACTGATTCCTGTTCCTGCAAGTGTAAGAGCTGTTGCAAGACAGAGGAGCATTAACAATTAATTTAGCATATTCTCCCCAGCAGCCCAGGGTTGTAGCTTGCAGCAAAACCTTACTAAGTTCTTTAATGCCCTGTGGGGAAGGAAGATCCATTAGTACTGGTGGTGAGTCCCAAGGTACAAATCCTCATGTCTTTTGGCCATGCTTTTGGCAAAGATTTTTTTTCCTCCCTTTCTTCATTCATTTAATTGTCCCAACTGATTTCCCTTCTCTGCCCCCCAGCTGATTTTGCAGAGGTGGCTGGTAGGAAAGGAGCCACTCTTTTTTTGTTTTTTCATACTTACATAGCAATCCCTGGATCCAAATAACTTCCCATCCTTCATCCTTTTTTTGTGAGTAGGTCCTGCATCCAGCCCCCAGTCTGCATTCTTGACCGCTACTATATGCAGTCGCAGTCAGTCAGCTTCCACGGTTGACTAGATTGCATGGAAAAATCACTGTAAAATAGTGTAACTTGCTATGCTTCAACTGCTTTGTTAAAACTTCTTACAGTCATTTCCTTTCACTGAGTCATTGCTCTTGATTTTTTTTTCAGATGAATTTTTCCATCACCCGTTCTTGGATGCAAGTGCCTCTATGAAAAAATGTAAGTGTTGCATTTTTTATTATAACTCTTTTTGAACCATGACATGACTTCCTTTGCTGCTAGTTCAAAAGGAAAGAAGACGACTGCTTTGTTTTCTTAGTTATTTAGGCAGGGATTCAGTGTATGTTACTGTGTCACGTCCAGATTTTGCCATCAAAATGTACTTAATTTTTCTGAGTTATCTTCAAAGGCATGATTAGGGGGCTATTTAGAAACCTAAAGTAGAAGTAAATGTAGCTTTGAAATATATTCAGCTGCTTTGCATGAAGTGCTTGGCCAGTGGGGATGCTTGTAGGTAAACAGGATTATGCAGCATCATCTTGCTTTTCATCCACACCTGTAGGACAGTTCAGGATAGTGAATGGTGGAAACTGGCACTCTTGTCCCTGCTTGCCAGGTGGTACCTTAGGTTGGCTGTGCCAAATGGCAGACTCCGGTTACCAAATCTTGTTTCAGCATTTACCTCCAAATTGTTGATAAATCTTGTTTTAAAAGGGTTAAATTTGGGTCCTCTGTGAGAACTGGCCAAAAGAAAAGGATTTCCACTGAAAGTTTGTTCTTTCCTCTTTTGATTCAAAACTTTTGAAAATTTCCAAACACATGTGCTATGATTCAGAGGTTTGTTTTCAGTGGAAAACAATTCAGAATTGCTTATAGTGTATGGGATATAATAGTCCTCTGGCCAGGAGACTTGGTTTAGTGGAATTGTGTATGGTTGTCGTCTTCTGGAAGGACTGGAAGGATCCTCCTGGGCCTTTAATCTCCCGAGTAAATGATAGAGCCAAGAATTTTCATCAGTGACTGATTCGGGGTGCCCAACGCAAGGGCTGGAAGCTTTGGAGGAAGCATGTCCAATGCTTTCTGAACATGGAGCCCCTCTTGGACGTATGCCGTGGGTGGATGCCCCTTGTCTGATGTCCACGTCACTCCTGACAGTCTCTTGCTTTCCTGGTTCCAGAGCAGGACTTCCAGTTGTTCCTGATACAGATTTTAACTGTGTACTTAGGTGACCGTCCTGCGGGCAAGAAAAGACGCTTCTGGTTTAGGGGAGCTTGCAAGTCAGCCAGGCCTCTGTCTCCATCTGCACCAGCAAGATGTGGGGCGAGTCCTGTAAAACAGGACTGCTCTGCAGGCAGGAAAGGACTCTGCCTGTGTAGGACTGCTCCTAAGCCAGCTCAGCTCTCAGCACCTGCTACACCACTGCCGTGTGGGAAAAGTCCTCCAAAGTCTGATCCCCCTGTGGGCAGAAGAGGACTCCCTCAGGATGTTCTTGCGTGCCCACCAGCTCATCTCTTACCTCCAGCAGTTCCGTTGCTTCATTGGCCAGCGGAACAGAAAACCCCCTGCAAACAGGAGAGGGTTCTCCTGACTTGGCCTCAGTTTCCAACTTCTGCGCATTGGCTGTGTAGAAACCAGAGGCACCATTATGAGCAAGGGACTGTAGCTCAGCCTTTGCCCCCAGCTGCACCAAAGTTAATGGTGTGGGGTCAAGGCCCAATAAAAAGAGCACCTTTACAGGCAAGTAAGGACTATACAAACTCCAGACCTCTCTGCTGCCCTGCTGGTCCACACCTCTGGGCGTATGTCCACAGTCCGGAGTCCTCTCCGGGCAGGAGAGGCCACTACTGGTTTTGAAGAGATGAGGGGAGAAGTATCTCCCCATTGCTGGAGGCCTTCAAGCTTTTGTCCACAGAAATCTGCTAGTGGAGAAGATGGTTCTTGTAGTCTGCTGTGTAGGTCTCTGCTACTGCGAGATGGCAGTGATGGATGAAGGCCTCTGGGAAGTGCAGTGAAGAGCCTGGATGAGAGAGGCTGCATGTGGGAATGGTGGTCCTTTTGATTTCTGAATAGGTGAGAGAAGAGCCAGTGTGTCAGCAAAGGTCTGGGTTATGGTGATCTCAGTAAGAAAAACTCACTTGAGATGTATGGAATGCTGCTTAACATGGTAGCGTGCTTAACATTTGCACAGTTTTTGCTGAAGTAGATGACTTAGCAAGGTTGCAGTTGCTCAGGGGCTAGCTCCCCTGGCTTTGCATGCAGAACTACTGTGGGACAAGAGGAAATGGCCTCATGTTGCGCCAGGGGAGGTTTAGATTGGACGTGAGCAAAGATTTCTTTACTGAAAGAGTGGTTAAACATTGGAACAGGCTGCCCAGGGAAGTGGTTGAGTCACCGTCCCTGGAAGTATCTAAAAGACGTGTAGATGAGGTGCTTAGGGACATGGTTTAGTGGGCATGGTGGTGTTGGGTTGACGGTTGGACTCGATGATCTTAGAGGTCTTTTCCAACCTTAATGATTCTATGATTCTAACTAAGATGAGTCCACAAATTTATTGTGCAACTTCATCTCAACATGTGGCTCAGCATCATGAGTGCAGGACGTATCAAAGAGGAGAAGAGATACGGCTGCATCTGAATCATGATCATCATGCTCAGACTGAATTAGAGTCCTCAGGCCTGCAGTGGAGAACTGGGGGGAGGAACAGTGTGCCCTTGTGTTTTTGTTCTCCTTGGGAGCTGATAATTGGGCTACCACTGGCTTTGGTGGAAACAGGACTAAGTAATTTACACTTGAGTGTGCAAGTTTCTCTTAGTTTGTTGGATGATCTGTGTTTTGGAGTAGTAGCTGTTGCGTGATGAACGCACTGAGACCTCAGCTAAGCTCAGGGACCCACTACGCGGCCTTTGCCTAAAGGACCTTCCAGTTCAGATGCACCTGCACTGCAGATGCCGGCAACCGTGCATCCGTTTAGGTCCCAAACCAATTTTAAGGTTAGACTCTTCCTTTCCATATGAGAACATTTTGCAGTCTGAGCAGTGTGTGGTGGTTTCCGTACCCCTGCAAGCAAATCTGCCCTCAGGTGGCAAGGGCAAGTGGGAGAGCTGCCACCAGTATGCGGAGCTGAGCACGTCACCCGGGCTCCTGAACCCCGTCAAGGCTGGTCCGGATCTGGTCACACGATGATTAAAAATGAAGTGAGAGCCATCGGCTACTCATTCTGTGTGGATATGTGTTAGTACACCATCTCATGGAATTATAAAGAAACTTTTTTAATATAACGTAATTTTGGAATTCCAGAAAATGGGGGAATCCTCAAATGTGGATAATTCTCTAAGTGGATAATTTTGAAGTTGCTAAGGCGGGGGGTCCCCCTTGTTTAAATAAATTTGCATGTTTTTCAAGACACTTCAGCAAAATCAACATTTCTGTCAAAAATCTTTAAATACAACATTCCTGACAAGCTCATCCTCTCCACAGTGGTTTTGAGGGATGGTTGTTCTCATGTCCCTCCTCATCTCACCCCTTTAGTGAAGCAAGGACCTAAGTCTGCTGCCCTCCAGGGTGTACCGCAAAGCTCTGTTTGCCACAGGCTTCAGCCTGGAGAGTGGGTTCAGGGCCTTGGGCTTTGTTAACTAAAACATACTTTTTTGTTTGTTTTTATTTATATTTTATATTGTGGGTTTTGTACCTGTGACTAAGCATGTACTTAGATGTGTAAAAAATTTATTAATAAAGTCTTTAAAATACTGTGTCTAGTCAGAATGTCGTCTGTCTGTAGCCAGGTCTGATCAGCATATGGTATGGGGCAGTGTGTTACAGTAATAATGCATGAGAAGGCATAATTAGATGCTTGTGCAAGTCTTCTCGCAGTAAACACATTGTAATTGGTACCCGTGCAGAATATTTTGGAGGTTTTTTGCTCCTGCCTTTAATGAATGGTAAGCTGGTACCTCTGAGTTAAGAGAGCATGAAACATGAGCAGCTATGGTTCAGAAGTGTACAGGTGGTTCAGTGTCTGGAATATCTGTCAGGCTTAACTTGACTTCTACCATCTTTTATAATCTTATTGTACCTAAAATACTCGGGTAAAAACTAGCAAAAAATCACCATGACTTCTGCATATAAAGGACTTTAATGGTGCAAATTTTTGAACTCTAAAAAGCAGCTTATTCTTTGGGCAAGTCCTTTCAGTTTTTGCACTCAAACTATTGCCTTGTCAGAGACTGCTATTAAGTAACTTTTTGATGACTGGTTTTGACTGAATCCAGATAATCACAAAAATGCATCTCTCCAGTGTGTGTAAAACTTGCATTCCAAATAAGCTTTATATAAAAGCTTGAGGCTCGGATATTTTTAGGACAGCCGAGCCCCTGGTAGGATGATTTGTCAGCAGTGATTTTTGCCGGTGGAGGATCCAGTATCAAGATCCCCACAGCTGGAGCAGAGGCTTGCCTTTATGGCTCCCAGCTCTCCCATTTTGAAACCAGTTGGCGTTGATTACGCAATGTACAGGATGACTGTTTTGTTGCTGGAACAAGTTGGAGAGGGCAATTATGAAAACACTTATTTACATTACAATTACAATCCAGCAATTTTTGGATTTGGGTGGGGGCCTACAATTCATGTTAACATTCCCTGCATTCAGACTTGAGCTGAAAACATGATGAGCCAAGTGTTTGCACCCTTTTTAATTTTAAACTGGGAGTGCCTGGGTGTGTGGAGGAGGTGGAAGGAAGCGTCTTGCTTTCAAGCTGTCCTAGGTGGCTGACGCTGAAAAATGCACCAACAGGGATATGGTGGTCAGAGAGGGTTTGTCAGAGCCAAACCTTGTGGTTCTACATGCATGAAAGTCCGTTTTCAGTGTCAGGACCTTTTGAGATGGACCTCACAGCATTACAGTGTGAATTTGGGGAGTTTACAGGATTTTGAATAAGAACAATGATTAATAGAGGCTGTATCTAAAGGTGTGCTTCATGCAGATGGAGTTTTAACTTGAGTTTCAGATGATAGTGGCAAAGTCTGCCTGCTTGTCTTCCTTCCTAGATTAATGGAAAGCTGTCCAAAGCAAATAGACAAAAATAGAAAAGTCGCAATTCCAACCAGGTTTAAGTCAATAATGAACACAGAACCAAAATAGAGTGGAGGGGACCTTGAGAGAGAACTGAAATGACTCTAATAAAAATACTAATTCCAGGAAAAATGAGTGGTGATGCAAGTCTTGCAGCAGGCACGTGTGGATACAGCGCAGAAATCACTTACCTTTTCTTAAAAGCGCCTTTCCATAATAGGAAGGTCTGTCTGTACAAGGGTGAATTGTTCTGTTACAATTGGCAGGGTAAAAATGGGGAGACTTTTTCTCCTCTCAGATTTCTGGTATTAAATGTATAGGGAAGGTAGTAGGGATTGCTCTGCAGGCTCTGTGGGAAGATCGCAGAGATCAAAAGCAGTGTGGTATAGGCAGGACAGAGCTCTCCATTTTACAGGCAAGTTCTCAGACCTCTGTGTGTGTTCCCTGAGCGTGGGGAGTGGGAACCAGCTGTGCTGGAAGAGCATGTGGGGTGTGGGCGGTGTAGCGCTCTGTGCCAAGCCCCTGACCGACCTCCCAGAATACCCATCATCAGAGTACCGCGGTCCCTGTTCCTTTACTGGAGCCAGAGCAGTGCATTTCAACAGCACAGTCCATCAAGGGCACAAAATCAAGTGTAGAATAGATGCAGAGGCTAAAAAGTAGCCTCTCGCAAAACTTTGGAAAGATTTATTTCATTATGGACTTAACCCTCAAAATGCTGGCGGAGTGAGCGCTGCCAGTATGGCCCAACACAAGAGGGAAAGGCATGTGTGTGTGCGTGTGTCACTGCACACAGGCCCCACGCAGCCATCCTGCTATGGCCTCCTATTGCACAAGCCCCGGGACTCTGCTGAATCAATCTCGATTTGCAGCATAACTTAACCTCTTTAGGAAAACATTCCATTTTTGTTAATGTTAGCAAAGGGTGGAGGAGATCACTGTGACCCTGGTTAAACTGTTACAGTGGTTGATTACTTATGTTAAAACATGTATTTTAAGTCAATGCTTCTTTGGCTTCATTTTCCTGTTGTTGGATCTTGTTACGTTTCTGTCAGACTGAGGAATTCAGCATCTAAGTGATGGCTCTCTTTGTGCTAGGAGAACACTGGTCCAGTCATCCTTTAACCGTCTTTGATAGGCTGTATGGAAAGACTTCTTAAAGCCTTTCATTAAAAGGCATATTTTCCCATTCTTTTATCATTAGAACACTGTTTAAACAGTTAATTGCAGAGAGATGTACTTTTATTTTTCTAGCCAGTTGAATAGAGTAAGTATCTAATGTGATTAATGACACAGGTAGTTTTACTTCAAACAGAAGCATGCTTCTTCTAGGTGTTATTAACCTTCCTTGTATTAAATATGGAGTCATTAGCACAGATCCTGTAAAGGTAGAAATCTGATACAAGGTGCTAATTTTCTGCCAGCGCAATGGAAGAGAAGCAAAGTGTTCCTCTCCTCACTTAAGCGTTGCCTCTGATCTCTATCTTAAGTCATTCAAAGACCAAAATGGTTGCAGAGTAAAATCTGACTTCAGGCTGCCCTGAAGTGGGGATGCTGGGACGCTTCTGCACTGTTCAGTCTGGTGGGGGTGGACTGGGGAATTTGAACCACTAAATACTTCAAAGTCTGTTAAAGAGCCAGCGTTACCTTTGACTCGTCTCCCTCCTTGGCTGAGCTGAACTCTTCTAAGTTATTTACTGAACCTCACTTGCATAAGTCATTGGAGTTAAATATTCTTTTCTGCTGTGATGCCTTAATCATCTCTTCTGCCTGAAGGTCAATGCTAACTAGTCCTTTCAGTGTGAGCTTTATGCCTCTGTGAGAGTTACAAGAGCCAGTTCCACAATGAAGTGAATAAAATGGACAGTTCTTACACTGAACAATAAAACATAAAAGGAAGGGATGCAAGAAGAGCCTGTGCTGTGGAACAATTTCTGTACAAAGAGATTAAATAAGCAAAACCTCTTTAACTTGCAGAAGTGACCGAGGGAGAATGTGTTGAGGTATAGAAAGCAATGAACTATTTCCTTTTAGATTAATTCTGTGGGGGTGTTTTTACGGCATGTGGCCTGGGATGCCCAAGTGACTGTTTGGGCAGCAAGCACATAGGGCTTGAGTAGGCATGTGTTTAACTTAGCACAGACCTCCTAACATTTGATATATGTGGGCTAAGCCACAAGGTCTGATGAAGAAGAAACTGTAAGAGTATGGTCTAGCTTCTAACCTCTGCCCCTAACATGAGTAACTCAGTCTACTTTTCTGTTTATCTTTCCCTTCATTTGCAAAGATGCTTTGGAGGCTTTTTAGGCCAGAAACCATCTTGCTACCTCTGTAGGTCAGCTGTTGAGTGGACATCTGGACTAAGGTCAGATGGTCTGAGACCTTCCACCCCAAGAGTTATAACTGTGAAATAGTGTGCAGAGGAGTGGATGTATGTGAATCATATAACTGGACAGAATGCTCATCTTTCTTTTGTTCTCCTTTAATTGGCCACATCTGATATGTGAGATAAATGATGGTACATGAGATAAACCTGATGGGAAAAGATGAAAAAGACCTTTTATTATTGATTGATCTTAGTTTGACGACTTCTTTTGTTTTTGTCTTTTGCTATTTTCAGCTGCTTCCGTGCCAATGCCTTCTTATCCCAGTTCAGGCTCCGGCAGTTCCTCCAGCAGCTCTTCTACTTCCCACCTGGCATCACCTCCCGTAAGTACGCACTGCTTGCGTTAATGGTCTCCGTGCTTGCTTCTTTGAAACAAGGGCTCTGCTTTTGCTGTCTTCTGGTGCAAGTCACTGAACGCCTTAGTTCTGCCTGGGTTTGGTTCAGTGTCTTCTCCAGTCTGTTTAGAGTTTGGATCCTGAAGGTTGTCTTTCTCTCCACAAGAAGTATTTCAGTTTGCCATTGCCTATTATATGAAAAGCCTTTATGAAGAAGTTGGTATTAATGATGCTAGCTTGTCTTGGCGGAGATGGAAAGCTCCTTGGAACCAAAAAACAGTCACTAATTCAGGGTATAGCACTGCTTACTTGGCTGCAAGTTCTCTGCTCTCACGTGAAGTCTCTGCAGCTTGACAGCGTATCCACCCTTCTTTGTAAGATGACCCTCATCCTTTCTGACCAGCATTCCCAGGCGCTACAGAGGGACATTCCGCAAAGCTGTTTGCTCAGACCAGACCTGCCACAGTCCGGTGGCCTTGTGAGAGATGATCTGAACTGACGGTTTTTCTCTCTGGTTACCTGAAATGATGAAAACTTTTCTGGAGGGCAGAATATTAACTGGCCAGTGAACTGACATTCCTCTAGTTCACTGAACTGAAAGCTTGTTTTCAGAGGCTCTTGGTGAAAGCTGCCTTTTGACTTTGAACTCAGGAATGCTGGTGGTGTGATGGGTAGGGGAAGGACTGAAGTTTTTCTTCCCTGTCATTACTGCTTTTTTGCTTTGTTCTCTGAGTTTTCTCAGGCCAAGGCATCTCAACCTGGTGTGGGAAAGGCTGAGAAGCACTATCTGAAGTTGATGTAGGTGCTTATGATGTGGGCTGGACAGAAAGGAAAGGTCTGCTCTCCTCTGAATGTCACATAACTGCATGCCTGAGAGTTTCTTCCCCCCTGCAGTCCTAAGTAGAGGGTTGTTGGCTGAAGCCCTCCTGACCATAAGACTCCAGGAATGGGTAGATGGTGTGAAAAACAGACTCTCTCCCCTGAGCTTTCCTGGTTTGGGAAGCTCAGGGATGGTACAGACTCACTGCCAGACTGGCGGGGGTTCTGTGTCAGAATTGTACTGCACTGAGTCCCCACTGGTACAGCAGGAGAGCCTCTGGAGGGTGAACAAGGTCTTAATAGGGCCCAAATAAAAGCTGATTCAAGTCTTAGCCTAAAAGTGCATTAGGATAAAGATTGTGATGTGCTCCGTGGGCAGTTCAGCTGTCTTAAAGCTTTCTTAAACCATCTGGCCTCTTCCATCTGTCTGCAAAACATGAGGATTGTGGGGCTATTCATCATTTGGCTGAAGGAAGCGGAAAAGTGGGACTTTTTAGGGTCTGTCCTGTCTCTGATGGCTGTGAGGTGTTCATCTATTGAATGCTTAGCCTCCTTCAGGCCTTTCTTCAAATCCTTATCAGCACTACAGCAAAACAGGGTTGTCCTGAAAGTGTAGGGACACTTATGTACATGTTCCCGAGTGCTGCTTACTGCAAAAGCGCCAGTAGAGACCAGATATTTAATGTTTAACAACAAAACAAAAAAACATAATCAAAAAGAACACCCAAAACTATCTCTGAAAGCTCTTCTGTTTCACAGCCATACTAAATTGAGTTCGTAGAAAATGCATGGTTGATCCAGAAAGCCTTAGCAGAGGGGTGCATTACCTCAAGTGAATTTTTCTTATCTGGGGAGCATCAGACATGCTGGTAGTATGTTTTGTGTAACAAAAGATGCGCTGTTCTGACATGGATGTAAAAGGCTGTTCCTTTTCAGTCAACTAAACAGCTGCTTCTGGCAAACCGTCAGCCCCAGTTTATCAGCAAAATGTTGTTTGTAGCCTTGTACAGCTCAGTTTAAAGGATCGAGCAGAGTGATGAAGTAGCTGTGCTGAAGCCAGTGTTTGTTTTCTTCTTGAATGAGCAGTCCCTTGGAGAGATGCAGCAGCAGCTGCAGGAGAAGGCGCTGGCATCTCCGACCCAGGATTCCCCCGGCTTTCTGCATGGATCTAAGGACTCTGCTGGAAGCAGCAGTAAGAATTCGTCCTGTGACACAGATGACTTCGTTATGGTCCCAGCACAGTTCTCAAGTAAGGTCATTTCTGGAAATGCAGATGTTCTAAGCAGAGGGGGATGTGGATATTAAGGATAGTTACTAGAAAGTTGAAAGAGCGATTAGATCTGTCTGTTTTGACTGAGTAACAGGAACGTTGTTGTTCTCAAGGTGGAAGAGACATCTGTCTCACTGGCTAGTTTCATAGGATATGTTGTGATTACCTTCAAAGACAGGATTTGAGAGTAAAGATTACTCGGGGACCTCAGTAAGAGATTGAACCTGGGAATCCAACTGGAGAAGATAAGTAGGCTCACAGGGAAATGTCTTTCTCTCACAGAAGCTGTTCCCATGTCATCCTGTCTTCAGTTTCACTCAGCATCACACTCTAAGACAGGATTTCAGCTAGCAAGCTGGATTTTACACTTGAAAAAATCCCTGAGAAAAACTAGAAGATGTTGAATTTTTCTTCAAACATTTTGAATTTCATTTTAGCACCTGTATGTGTTTATACTTTGATAGGAATTGCTTGAAAATATTTATGTACATAGAGGCCAGTTCAGCCACGTGCCTAAGTATGTCCATGCACGAGTCCTTACTTAACCAGCAGAAGGATATTGTTCAACCTTGACCGTGTGCGATGTTTTGCTGAGTTGGGACCTGGTGATAAATGCTGCGATTCCTCCTTTCACAGTTGCGCTACTTGTATTAAAACAGGAATTTGGAGGGGTAGAACTGGAATCTATGAAAGGTCTCTGCTGTGCAATCCTTATGATAAGGAAGAGCTCAGTGTTGCTTGCATTCTTCCTGGTAGCAGCGATGGGACCAGTATACACTTGTCTTGTGCTAGTCATGTTTCTAGCGTTCAGATGTTTTGGCAAAGGCACAAACTCCCCTATGTCATGTATCCAGCTGCCAGCTCATTTGGCTGCCCTGGATTTTTGCCACTGAGGACACGGATGTTTCAAAGCCCTATGTGCAACATATACCACTGTCTTTTTACACAGCAGCTAATTGCATGCACCAAGTGGGCATATACCTGTTGCCCCAAATGATTCTGTCAGGTTTTGGCCCCCTTCCAAAAGGACTTCCTTTCAGCCTAAACTTTCCAAAACTTCAGGGTATAAGGATCAGCAGCATCCACATCGGCTTCAGCCCACACGTATTTTGCAAAACACTGACTTCGGATGCAACTCAGCAGGTCTTGGAAGAGCAGGAAATTCTACCCAAAATCTCAGTTGCTCAGAATACATAAAGATTTTAAGATGATTATCTCAGATTAATCTCTCTCTTCTACTCTGCACTTCCTTGTTCCTCAGGTGATTTAACTGCTGAGGCTGCAGGAGGGAAACCAATCCAAGACAGCCTGATGTACAGCGGGTAAGGCCACCAAGGCAACTGAAATTGTTCAGCCACTGGAACGTACTGTGCATTAGGGACTTTTGTGTTCTGGTGGATGGGAGGGAAGATGTTGCTGAGTTAACTTTTGTTTCAGGATTAACTGTCATCTGCCTGGTTCTGACCATTCTCAGCCTGATCATCAGCATGTGGCACCTGAATACCAGAGTGTATGTAGGGCAGCATGGCAGTCCCCAGGGCTCCTACGACTAGACTCAGCAGAGGGTGCTGGGCAGACGCAGCTCTGTTGCTATGCTTTGTAGGGGGGGAGCAGAGTTGGTTCCCAGGCTCTAACAGCTGGGTTCTTTCTGTCATTCTTCAGGAGTTCTCTGGTGACTTCAGCAGGCTTGGAAAGCCAGGGAAGGACACCGTCTCCTTCACCCCCATACAGCAGTTCTCCTAGCCCATCCAGGTAGGAAAGACTGTTCAGTGGTGACTATGCAACATTGATTAATTGAACACCCATTGACTTCCAGGAGGGCATTTTACAGATGTTGGTGTGCTGGGCAAGATCCACATCTCTCCTTTAATTAAAAGATAACAAGAAACACACAGGAGAAACTCCCCAGCCTTGGGCACTGATCAGTCCCAACTACAGAGCCTGTCTTTCCCTCTTCTGGCCCTCAGGAGGGGCTAGGAGAGAATGTAGTAGAGCTGGAATTAACTCTGTTCCCTGGGGGCGCAGGGATTATTCTCAAGCAGAAAGTAAATGTACTCCACTGGCATGTATGTGCTACTCATCCCCTCTGTGCTCAGCCTGCAGAGGCGGTGAGTATTCCAGCTAAAGACCCTTGTTTCTGAATTCATGCAGTGAATTAGAGCACAACACTTTAGCCAAGGCTGAAATTACAATGGACTTGAATTACTGGGCAAATGCGGAGGAGCGTTGCTCATCTCCCCTTGCTTTGAAGGACAGATCTGGGCCTACTTAGTTGTTTGTAGTTTGCTTGAAGATTCGAAAAGCTCCTTGCACTGTGTCTGTATAAAGTAATGCTGCTACATGGGCCTTGTTTACTAACGAAGGATGCAGGAGTAGGAGTAACAAGTGCAAACAGATGTGGTCATAGGTTTAGTTCCAACTAAACCAGTTGGTATAAACTCAGCTTTGGCCTTTAGAAATGTCGTAGGTGACAGCTGCTCACAGACAACAGCACCAGCTGCCCAGCGCCGCCAACATTTGCGTTCAGAAGACATTAATGGTCTGTGGAAGGTGATCCCATTGACTCTAGAGCTTGAAGCTTTAGGGAACGTGCTTAGTTTACAGGGAACTGGTGGTGTTGCTTCCCATCTCATTCTTGCCTACTGGGGAAGCAGGACAGCTTTCATCTTCTATTCTGTCAATATGGCACCTGTTGGGGGAGGACAGTTGAAGGGGATTTCACACTGGGAGATGGATGATCCTAAAATCTTTTTTAAGAAGAAAAGGTAGTCCCATGCTATGTGTTGAACACACTCATCACATAAATGGAGCCCAGAAAATGACACAACATAGCCTCAAAGCATACAAATTTAAAGGAGAAGAATATAGCTCAAAGCCTTGCTGACGTGATCAGATTAATTGGCAAGCACATACCACAGTGTGGAGTTTAATTGCATGAGGCTGCTTATGCCATTGCCTGCTAAGCTTTTTAACAGCTTATTCCTTAACTGATTCCTTTGCATTCTGGCGATCAGTCTTTATTAAAGGATTTGTCCTTGTTTCTGGACAGCAGTGAGTGGAAGCTCACGGAAGTTGACTACAAATGGTGCCTACTTCTCACTGTTCACCACTGTCTGCACCAAACTGGCCTCATCGTATCCTACTGGATCACAAGGTGGCAAGTCAATGCCAGCGGCTATGATCCAAGCATGTTTCTGCTCTCGCTGTCTTTCCTACTCATTCCCAGCAGCTTCTGTGGAGCAGATGCCAAACCCTCTAGTGCTACCTCCCATTTTTCTCTCTGCTTTAAGGGAACACTGAAAAGTTACTTCCTACCCTGTCCAGGATGGGGAGTAAGACATAAATAATGAAAGATTGGAGCAGTCATTCTGAATCCAGAGTGTAAAACACGATCTTTGATCTGTCCCCGAAAGTGCTTTGAACTGTTGCCACCCAGGTATGCCCTTACTGTTAACATGGGCTTCAGTGACCTTGACTGTAGATGTCATGAGGTCTGTTGGTTCAGCACTTGGCTTCACCGGCACAGAGGACTCCTGATTTTCTCTCCGTCTTTGCTCACTTGCAAGCAGCAGTTCTCCCTTTCTTGTGTGGCTCTAGGCTAGCAAGCAGTGCTGGATGCAGTCCAACTAGGACAGAAGGGAAAGGCTATTTTAGAGTGGCCAGCAGTGGGTTTTCCTCAGAATATAACGGTACGCCCTAGAGCAGTTCTCCTTGTTGTTAACTAAGAGCATAAGGACTGGGCAGAATTAAAATATGCTGACAGCTGATCTTTTATTTTCTTCTTTCTTTTTTTCTTAAAAAAAACACTTCCTTGTTGAAAATTATTAATTAGTCTAACGAAAGGTACTTCCTTGGATGTATCCCACAGCAATGGATTTAATACCATTTTCAAAGAGCTTTTAATTACTGCCAAGTAATTAAACTCCCTGTCCCTGCTTTATCTCTTGGTCTTTGCAAATTTACGGTCAATTGTATTCTTTAAGGCTTGAGGCCAATTAGCAGGTTTAGTATATGTCAGCTCATTTGGATGCTTTCTTTTGCAACTTGCACCTTGTGGAGAAACCTGGCTCCTATAAGGACTTGATAGAACTCTTGTAGAGAGGGAGGATCCTTTCACCCAAGAACTTCTTTTCCTCCAAAAGATTTTGACCAGATGGAAAAGATAGTGTTTGAAATGTATGCTGAAAGTCAGGATGCGTACAAAGTTTGACGTTAACGCCCAGATTTCTTGGTTAAAGCTCTGTTCGGTTTATGTCTGTCTGACACCATGTCTTACACTGATGGAAGGCAGAGACAGCAAAGCCTCACCTTTCCACTGAGCAATCAGAAACCTTGAATGCCTTTATTTTATTGTACGTCAATGGAGAATCAAGGCTTCCATGCTGCCTTCTAGAAGCAAACATCGGATTAAGAGTCTGTTCTCTTGGTGGAAGAAATTAGAGCACACAAGGAAGAACATATAGAGAACTTAAAAAATCAGTAGACATGTGGAGAGAGGAACAAAGAAATCTGAATCACTTTCTGATCTTTCGGCCTTGATGAAAGATCTCTTCCAGTTATCTTGTGGTGGAGGAACGTCGTCATGTGCACAGTGTGGAGATCTGCAGGCACGTTCCTGGAGGTCAGCTTTGTTCAACACTGTCACCGTAAACCGCAGAGTACTACTGACCTTCCCCAAAAAATAAATTCCGGTAATGGGATGCTTTGAACCGCCACATAAGTCACAAACTCTTCTCTCTTCCCCTGTGCACGCATGTATGTTTTTGCTGAATTAAATATCTCCTTTCATCTTATGTAAAACACTTCTGCTCCAAGTGTTAGACCCGAAGAAGTGATACTTCCTGCTCCTCAGGGGCAGACCCAGGCGTGTGTCCTTGACTGACAACAAGGAAGACTGCAGAAGCCTTCATTACCAATAAGATCTTTCTGTAATTGTGCAACATCCCTGCAATTGTTGTTGGCAGTTGTAAATAGCATTGCCATGGCAATTAATCCCAGAATTCTGGAGCCTTTGGGAAAAGACTTGAGGCGGCTACTTAGTTAAATGTGGTGTTTGCATGGTTTTTGTATAGCATGGTTTGTGTATAGTGTGGTGTACAGGTTAAGAGTAACAGGGGAAACTGTCACCTGGGGGAATAGATATCTGACATGAGCTGATTAACCTGCTCGGATGGAACTAGAAAGAAGTCTGAAGTTTGCAGAATTGGCCTGTCCCATTTTGTGTGTGTAATACTCTAGCTGACCCCCAAATTTATTCTCTCCTCAGTTGCCCTCTCTACCCTGTAGTTAACTTGCAAATACTCTGACATGCACCACAAATTTGTATTCTCTTCGTGGCGTGCTGAGACTTTCATGGAGATGCCATTGCTGCAGCAGTGCCTCTGCATGAATTGCAAGTAGCTCTTGGCAGCAAAATCTTTGCTGGTGTCCTTTGTGAGCCACAAATATTTAGCCCCTGTTCAATGGTGTGCTCTTTGGCTGTGGATCTGGCTGTTGGAAACTAGGCCAGTTGTGGCCTGAAATAGCAGGGCTCTAATTTTCCTGGAGGGAGTGGTGCGCTTGGGTGTATGTTTTAACTTCAGTCTGTGGGTGGGAATCGTGCTGGAAGAAAGGTGCCTGTTCTCAGGAGATGTGTGGTGCCACTTCCCTTTGATATGACTTTGAACTACCTCCCAGTATAAACCCACAAGCCGAGAGGAGCCAAGGGGACGCTCCCTGTGTACGGTTGCTTTACAAAGATAAAACCTCCAATTACCTGTCTGAAGGCCCACCCATTACAAGAAGCTTTCTTTGTGTGTCTCCTTTGAACAGCCGGCCAGGTCAGTTTTCTAGCAGCAAGTACGGACACTCCGTGCCCATTCCGGTCCCAACGCAAATTCATAACTACCGGCGGATTGAGCAGAACCTGCAGTCTCCCAATCAATACGCCTCTCCGCGGTAAGTGCTGGGGCTGGGAGGAGGGGGTAACGTCAGTGCAGGGGCTCTTGTATTACAGCTTGAGGGTTGTAAAACAAACTGTTTCACAGTTTGTTCTCTGTACCTCTAAAAATTTCTGTGTGATGGGCTCTCCCCCTTGCTGTAGGGAGCCAATGTGGTGTGTGTTATGTGGTAATATAGTTTTGGGGTATTTTTGTAGCGGTGTTGAGATTTATTTGTTACCACGTGCTGTAAATTTTGTCTGTGTGCCTGTATGTGAGACAGCTCCCTTCAACGTTCAGAGCAGGCTGAGCCCCTTTGAGTCTGACAGCTTTTCCCATGCCACCTATGGGTTGGGTGTCCCAACCAAGCAGAGAGAACCATCCATCTAGCAGATGCCTTTATAAAAGGAAAAAGTTGAGATAAACAACTAAAATGATGGGGCTGCGAAACTTACCTGACTTTACCTTAATTGGTTCCTGTAGCTAGTCACACCATTGATGATGTGTCTTACACGAGTTGCATATTAATGTGGTTATGCAGCCAGGACTGATTAAGTCATGAGCAATTTATGCCTGTGAGGCAGAGCACGTTTTCTGAAGGCCGTCAGGAAGACCTGGATGCCAGCCTTCAGCTGTACAGCTGACCTTCTGAGTTCAGTGGTAATGCCTTGTACATCCAAGACACATAGGGCTTCTGTCTCTTCTCATGTGTAATTTCGGGTTCTTACAGGTTTGAAATCTGGGTTGACGGTGGCAGCCCAGATTGTAGACTGGTTGGAAGGAGACTCATACAGGATCTTAAAGAGTCTGTACAGCAGGGGCATTCAAACAGAAGTGTCTGTGAGGTGTCATGTCTTTTTTTGGATGAGTTGCTTTGGTATCTGGATTAGTTAAAGTTTAGATTTCAGAAGTAGGGTAATACCTATGTCAGCCTAAGTTTGGGCTTCAGCCAGCCTAATTCAGGATAAGGCTTATTCAAAGTGAACCCAGAAGTAGAGACACGATATGTTGATATTAATCAGGGATCAGCAGAGAGATTGTTTTGTGCCAGTGTTACTTTAATACTATTTTATGTTCACTTCTTTGAGTGTGTGGCAGGTTTTGTGATAAGCTCCTTCCTGTTTCTTACATGCCTTTTTTACAGCAAAACTTGTGGACCCTGTTAGTGTTGGAACTCACAAAAGAGTCCTGGTTATCCATGTGATGTATAAAGTGAGAGCTCTGGAGAAGGTGCACCCAGGCATGCTGTGCCTACCCCAGACCTGGTGACAGACTGCTGAGTTCAGATTCACAGCCTGCAGCTACCAGTCGGGGATCAAATTGTCGTGTTTTGCTCCTTTTAGTCAGCACTGTGTAATGATGAGATTAGCATCATCCCTGCAGAGGAACTCGAGGAATGGACACAATCAGATGATTCATACTCTGCTTTTAACATCATCTCGAAATCTCTGGCGTCATGGGTTTTTTTTCTGCCCCAGGAAGCCATGTTTATCTCTCACCATCACTTCCTCTAATCGGCAAATTCAGTAGACACCCTTCAGGAATGGAAGGAGAAATCTTGATCAGGCACTTAGTATGTGATTCCACTTTTCCGTCAGGTGTATCAAATAGGCCATTACAGCCAAGTGCCTCGTCATGTTTCCCAAGTCATTTGACTACAAACCTTGACGTACACTCTTGTTTCTGAAAAACGGACCACTGTCATCCGGCTGGTGTATGCCTGTGTAAGGCAGCTTGTTGCGGACAGATATGTTGCTTGTTGAGGTGGTAATTACGTGTGCATACTTCTGGCCACATCACCTGTCCTGCTCATCTGCTTGCTTGCTTATCCCATGTCTCGTAGGGTGGCATTTAATGTTCCACATCTTTCAGCAGTGGCGGGCAGCTGGTGTTTTTTTCTGCAAGTTCCCGATAGATAATATTCAGCCTTCTGGATGGCTCATGTTCTGGAGAGCTAAAAACATGGGGGAGCAGTACTTTCTGCCACTGAACGTCTAGGTATCTCTTCACCTTGCCAGGTGTCTGTTTCCTTGTTGTGTATTCATTTTGCTTCAGGGCCAGGCACTTGGTGAGTGTTAGGCCTCTGAATCTGGAGCAACCTGAAGAGAAGTGATTTTTAGGTTAAAATTTTAAAGGATTTCCTTTTTTTTTCCAAGCATGTGAATATAGTGTGGATTCATTTGGCTGAGAAATATAGTAACGCATTGAAAAAGGGGGTGGTGGCGGATCAAACTCTTGTGTCTCAACTACTGAAATAGATATTTATTTTTTTTATTTAACATATTTTTTTCTGAAACATGGCATAAAGTAAAGCATGTACCTAGTAGTGTTGTTGAGTAAATGTACTGACACTTCATCAGGATGACTTTGCCATTCCTGGGTAATGTAGCTAGCCCTGCTTGCACTGCTGAAACCAATATGCCTTTGTTGCTTCTGTTCAGATATGTATGGACAGCTTAATGCAGCGTCACTGGGAGAGGAGGCAGGATACCTTGGTGATACCATCTTTCAGTGGCTTGAGCACAGAGGGTTTTTTCAGCATATTCATTGATTCCTGTCCAGAAAACCACCTACTGGCTGAGACTAATGTTCTTTTGACAAGGGAAAAAAATGTTTCCAAATTGAGAGTAGAGTGAAGGATTTGCTGAAAGGACTGTTTTCTCATATAGAGGAGTGTAATGGGAACCTTGGTGAAGGAGCCTGCAGAGGCAGAATGGCATTTCAGTAAATAGTTTAGGTTGTGTGTTCTTAACGAGAGGTAAAAACACTAAAATACTGAGAAATAATTAATTAATGTACAATAATCCCATCTCTCTCCAGAGCGATGGTGTGGCTGTACTCACTTTCCTGCTAGTCTAGTTTCCTCTTCTGTTTCATTTTAGCAGCTGGGTAATACTTGAGGTTCCTGCATGCGTGGGCTGTCCAAATTAATTTTAACTCCCTAAGGTGAAGCTTCACAAGGAGTTAAAGGAGTTTGGAGCTCAGGCAATTCTGACTGTCCAGCCCAAAAAGAAATTCCTCTGGGTAGTACTAGAACCACTGAACTGTTTCAGATCTGACAGCCACGCACTGCTCAGTTTTGCTCTGTAGCTTCTGATTTGAGTCAAAGCTTTGTTGCAGAGCAGTGCCTTTGGCAGAGCTTTACCTCCACATTGTACAACCTGCACTCATGGAGCTTTCTACCTAAACGGCTGCTCTGACAAAAGAGCAAGTGGCTCAGCACAGGAGGGACACTTGAATAAAGCCCTCTCAGGGCATTCTGAAGACACTGCCTAAAATAACCAGCTTGGACGTGGCAACATATGATACTCTGTCCTGTTCAGGATTGATGTAGATACCTGAAAGCATCTAAAAGTGACTTCTGAAAAATGACAGGCTTTCCTGCTTGCAGCTAAGCTAATCTCGTTCTTTCTTTTCATTTTTTTTGCAAAATTTTGTTTGGATTGAAACTCTTGAGAACAAGGTTTATCATCTTAATCTGTATTGGTGTAGTCCTAGAACAGTGGAATTTTGATCCAGGATAAACAGTCACGAAGCTCCGCTTCTGTGGAAGTAGCTCTGTGTGTGTGTCTGGTGATACTGTTCTCCTTACTCTTCTGTACTGGCATCTGGAGTAATCTGTGTGCTGCTGTTGTTTCCTATAAGGTCTGGTGCGGTCCGGAGGTCTAGCAGTACAAGTCCTCTTGGTTTTCCTAAAACTGGTGCTTCCCCTCCTTATCCTGGAGAGCATGGATCTGTGCCCAGCTCTAGAAAGCTCTCCTTTGGCGGTGCCAAGCCGTTTATGCCATCACCGCAAGGTAAGATGTCAACTGGCATGTTGCTGCCCTAATAAAATCACATGCCTCTTTCCTGAAAAGAGGGAGGTTATGAACAGCTGTAGCTGCCAGGTAATAGGGAATTCAGATTGTTGTGTTCTCCCATGGCTCTTCTCAGTAGATTATTTGACAAGTGTTTTGGCCTCAGTTAAAATGGAGAGGAAAACACCTATTAGCCCCGGGAGAGGCAAGCTTTGTTTTGGTGTCTGCATCAAATGTTTTGCTGCCTTCTGAAGAGGACTTCTGTAAGTGCAAGGTATCTCTTTACTGGCTCGGGCTGGGGTGAGAAAAAATGTAAGCCAATTGTTGTCAGAGCAAAATTCTGACCAGCTTTGGAAGGGCTTGACCTTCACTGTTCAAACTGAAAAGTAGCTGTCTGAATATCTGGTAGCCTGATCCAGATGATAACAAGCAATTCAAGTGGAAAAGGGGTAAGAAAAACCCCAGTGTGCAGCTGATGCAATTTGCTGTTTTCTATAAAAGAACAGACTCTGATGTAACTAGCTATTCTATATCCCTAGCATCTTTGATCCTGTATTTATTAGTCTGTGCTAGTGGGGAGATGCGGAATATTCATATTCTATTCCTCTGAATTAATATCACTGCAAAGTCAGACTAAAACTGGCTAAACTAATATCAGACAGAGCTTTTTTTTTTACCTCCTTTTACAGGAGTTGTTGGTCTTTTCACTACACAGCTAGGGCTGAGAAGATGGGAGAAAGAACTAGCCTCTTTCTATAAAACAGATGATGCATAGTGTTGTTATTGCCTATGGAAACTTAATACTGAATAAACTTTTTTTTATTGTGTTCCCTCAAAGTTGGAACAATCCCAGAGCAGCCCAGTCAGACTGTTATCCCCTCTTCTCTTGGAACAGAAGTGAGAAGCCGGATTCCTGTTGCCGGTGCGTTGGTCCTTACCTTCCTTCATTATTCCTATGGATAGGGCCAGAACCATAGTCTCAGGGCATTCAAGGTTGGGTATGGTCCTTCAGCAGCTTCTCTTGATGCTTGGCCAGCCAAGATTTCTGTGTGCTGGTAGGAGTTGGGGTTGATCCATTCACGTCCCGTCAGCCAGCCTCTTCCAGTGCTGACAGACCCTGTGTCACAGACTCTCAAATTTGTGACTTGAATTCAATGGACTGAGGGAAGGAAAAGCATCTCAAAACCCCCAACTCCCCCTCTGCCACGTGGCTGGCTTGCTGTGTAACTTCCTTGCTGCCGAACTCTGACAGTCAGGGTCCCTGTCTCTGTAAAGGCTGCAATGAAGGAAAGAAGCTACGCCTCTATGTCCCTATTGTGCCTGTCTCTTCCTCCTGTAGAGTCAAAACCCGATCAGGCCTAGCAGGTTGTGGCGCTGATCAGAGCGCTATCCTTAGCCATCCGCTGAAGGTTTTGATCTGTAGATGTTTTAGCAGTGGATCCTGAGATCAGGCTGGCTTTTTGAGTTAGAACCAGAAAATGATGTGGTTTGTCACTGTGTTTGGGCCCTCCAGGTTCCTCGGTGCCTGAACACTCTCCTCGAGGGATGGGCTCCCGGCTCCACAGTGCTCCCAACCT